ATCCCTTCATTAGGTACATGAGGTTAGTGCATAAAGTTGAGAAGCAAAGAAAAAAAAATAAAAATTTCCAGCCGTAAATTAGCATACAAGTAAATATTTTTCAAAAAGACATGCTGAAATTAACATATACTGCAAAAATAAAAGAAATTGTAGATTAGTACATGAGGTCTGTCACCAATGACTAAATTTCACCACAATAATTGAAGTCAAGAATTCTACCCTCTTCAAAGCTTCTAGAAAGATTACAGAGATATCATCATCTTTTTTCTTCAGAACTGTGATCAGATTCTTTACAATCTCTACAATGCCAGCTCCACGCATCACAAAATGAGAAATTATCTCTGGAGCAAGATAATCCTGCAGCAGAAATTGGTTTTTGACTGAGTTTTGTAAATCAGAAATATAATGTGAAACAACAAGAAATGCCAAGAATGCAAGAAATAGCATAGCAAACACTGACCTTTGGAACCGTATCACTAGCTATCAACTTTGCAGCAGCAATCATGGCTGCATCTCTATTTGTCTCCTCAATATACTCATTGTTAACATCTTCGTCTTCTGTGTCATCTGCAAAACATACATTCAAGGTGTAACTAAACTTTGCAAATAAATAGCAACATGAAAGTTTAACATGAATTCTCATCAATGTATGCAGCCAACATCTAAAAGGTGTTAGTTAACAATAGGCAGGCACGGAAAAGTTACCTGGCTCCAGTTGATTTCAACCATATGGTGAGGGGTAATGGCCCGGTTAGCAGCAAGTTACAGATTTCAAAGATTGAGCTCAAAAAAGGAAATGAAAGAAATCATCACCTGAAATTTTGAGCTGTTGCTCGCAAAGCCTCCAGAAATTTTGAAGAAAAGGAGCATCTGGACAAAATCCTAACTTTCAAGCTTTGTTGACAAAAAGTTAGTCTTCCTAAACAGACAGCAGACATCTGCTAGCATAGTACAAGCCTGGGTCATTAGATGAACTTCATTAGAGAAAACAGTAAACGGTCTTCTGGAATTTTCTTTAAAAAAATCATATATTAAGGCAAAAGGATTAACCTGCAGGCTAGTTGATTTCCAGATTTTCCACCTTCCCTGACTTCAGGAGGAGCATTAAGAAAGTACTCAAATTCCTCCAACAAGATGCCACATTTAGACAGGAGAGAGGATAAGGATCCTTCAGAGACAGTTTCACTGTTTATAATAGAGTGCAAAGACCAGGCAACACCAAGCACATATTGAGCGGCAGAAAACTAACAACCTAAATGAGAATGAACAGCAGTTATGAACGAATGCAAGGGACAGAAAAAAAACAAAATGAAAGATTTTTAAATTTGCTCATTTAACTTACTTCATCATCCAAGTTTCTGAAGCTGTGAAAGATTGTGATACTATCTCCATATAATTGATACAGGCCTTGATAATTGAAGCTCACACAACCATTTTAAATTTACAAGAAGAGAATTCATCCTCTCCATCCTGTAAATTTAAAACTTGTCAACTGTATACATTCGGTTAACAAGGCCACAATCAAGAACAAAAGGCCCAGATAGAAACATACAATCACTTCTTTAATAGCAGATTTAAGCTTATCAATAAGTTCATCTTCAAGCTCCTTGAATTTATTATGAGCAAAATCATGCAGCTCTCCTCGACTTTCAGTGAAACAGAATTTAATAGCCTTCACACAAGATCTCAATGTGTCCTTCTCACCATGCTTGAAAAATGCATCTTTGATGAGCTGAAGAATAGTTCTGAAATTCTAGAAGGGAAAGCAGATCAGTACTAAATATGAAAAGGTACAAAAAACTATCTCATAACTGACATTAACAAGCAACTTTACCACCTAACTGTTCCTGTCTCTTCAAAGAATGAAGCTCAAGGTTATAAACACAATAATCTCAACCAATGATGGAATTTTGGCCTCATCAGCCATGAATTTATGCAGAAGTAATGGGTAGTTCTTCATCATGGCAACAGTTATATATCGCCTGTTGCTTTCAAATATTTCCTGGAATTTTAAAAAAAGACAAATTGAGATTTAGTCATCTTTGTGAGTGGCAATACAATGCAGTGAAAATCATCATACTAGTAATGCAAATACAAATAATACTGCAATTAAATCCTTATATGAGCTAAGGAGGAATGATAATAAGGAGTAAGAAACAAAGAATTTAGATACTTTTTGAGGTAATATTGCTTCTGATTATCAGAAGCTGGAACAATCCTCTCTCCAACAGCCTTTCTGACAGAAGCAAAAAGAAGCCTACTCAGGTTTGTTGCATGTTCATCAGCTATTAATGGATTCTCATACAAGAGCATGGAGATGATACACTTCCAATCGTCCAAAGCAAATTACTTAATTACCAAAGACAGTATATAATTAGGGCATATAAATGCCATTTTGAATGCCTTGTACTTTTACTTAATGATGAGGTAATTGTTCCTCAGAAGCATGTAGGCCAGATTGATGGAGGTGGAGCTGGAGGTGGAGGTCAAACTTGGAAGTAATTCCTGGGACACTCCATCTAACTAGTTTTCCTTTGTAACGACCATCACAACCCACTATTGGCATTTTAAAATTTCAAAGTAGACTGCCTCAAACATTCACATGCACCACATGTACAAAAATGTCTTTGGTAAAGATAAATTTTGAAGGATGAAAACTTTCACGAACTTAGACTTCTTTGTTTGTTAAATCATTAAATGTTATTTCCCTTCTTCTTCCTCATAAACATTGCATGCAACAAATACAATACCCAACCTTGCTTAAAGCCTCTAAATCCCCACCTTAGGATGTAAATAAATCTCCGATCTGTGCCTATTGCCTCCCCTTCCCAACCTGTCACGAGCAACAAGGAAAATACTCTTCATAGAACAACACTACAAATATGTACTTAAAAGGACCAATTTTATGGTAAGAGCAAAATGTAGAAACCGCATAGCCACATAAACTAAGATCATAAGCTTCATTCATAACTCTAGGGATCTTCAGTAGAAGCATATAAATTTAAAGATTTCAAAAACAAAAGAAATTCAAAGTCAATTACCGATTTATCTCTCGTCCGCTCTTTTCGAGACATCAGAAATTCCCTCAGCAGCTCGACTTGGCTTACTTTTGGGACGAATTTCTTCGAATCCTCGGGTGAACCCTCCCATTCCTCTAGGTTGGGGCTCCCATCATGGGCATCGCTACTCCTTTCTTGATTCTCCCTATTGTTTACCGTTTGCCTCACGAGGTTCATCTCCACCTCCTCGAGTTTGAAACCTAGCCCTTTTTTCACCAAAATTAGGTCAACTGATATACTACAAGAATTAATTTACATGCGCAGAAAGAGAGAAGAGAGAGAGAGGAGAGAGTAGACAACTACGAACGACGAGTAGTAATTGTAGGGTCGAGGCGCACCGTCATCCATGACCTAGGATTTGAATTACTACTAGAGAACTTGACCGGGACAGAGAGGGAGAGAGAGAAACGGATATCTGCCCTGAGATGGACCGAATTAGCAGAAATAGAGGAGAAAATGAAATCTCCCGCCAAACGATTTTTGTTAAGTTCTAAGGGCCGTGAGATCTTAGTGATTGGAGGCGAGGGTAATTTAGTGTGAGAACGTCAAGGACTCGTAGTATGGTAAGTGGTAACGGATACACTTGATCAAGTCGCCGCTAAGGCGCTACACTAACTCTACTATTTTTAAAATAAAATAAAATAAAATAAAATAAATCAACAAGATAGAATTAAATGCTATAGTAACGGTGAGGGTTAATTTGGATTTATGTTCATTGTTTTTAATTATTTTATTTTTTAATAAATAATAAAATGACCGACTGCACGAAACCTATTATATCACATTTTACATTTCGATTTTCATCCTTTTTAATTTATCTACTAATGTTACTTTTTTTGTATAATTAAAAACATTTAAATGAATAATAACATAATGATCTTGTTTTGTATCTTAATAATATAATAACCGCGTCAACTTCTAACAAGTAAAGCTTATTTGGGCCAAAAAAATTATTATTATGTAAGCTTATTACAAAAGATATAAATAATGAAAAAAATCTGTATCAGTAACAACTTTATATATTGATATTACAGATTTCTTTCAATGTAAATGATTACTTGAAAACGTTTGGAAAGAACAAATTTTTTTAGTAATATAAACCGATTCAACCAAAAATGTATTGGAACATAGCAGGATTCGCCTTCCATAGACACACCAAGCTCCGCAATGGCAGATATTTCACATCATAATTTCTATGTATCAGGGACACTCAAACCTAAGATAAAGAGTCATCAATCTGACTCAAGTCACTTTCGGATAAAAGAAAAAAATCTAACCAGTGGATCACTTTTCAGCTTTGAATCTAAAGCACAATGTTGAAACTGCCGGTAAACTGTCCAATTCTTTTTAACTTGAATCTGTCGATGAAAAGGCTCCTCTGTACCAAGGGACTTAGGGTTTTAATCATAAATCAACTGCAATTGCTAATAGCCTAGTAAACAATGGCATAAAGTAATTTGTAATAATCATAAATATACACTACATTCGATAAACATAGAAGCATGTAAGTAACATCAAGATGTGTTGGCCATGGACTCAATTAGGAGCTGATAACCTTCTGGCACGGCTGTCTGTGTGTTAACACACTCGGCAAGTGCAGGTACGTCTGAACCAAGGCCATGAGACATGGCCAGAAACAGCAGCAAATGAAAATCCGAAATTCTCTTCACAAATGGAAGACTCTTTGTTCTATCTAGAGTGACTCTTAAGTGTCCCCATTGTCACATGGTTGTTTCGGTTCTCATGGGAAATGTTGAGGAAGAGGTCCTGCGTTAAAAGGCAACTATAAATGAGTTCCAAGTAATAGAGGAAGGTGAATCTGCAGCAAATCAAATTCCAATGTGCATAATTAAAAATCCTCTCCCCCCCCCCCCCACTTCTCTTTCTTCACAAAAGAAAAATAAAAATCCGTCAAGTGAGGTGAGCATCAATCTAATGGACCCTTTCTCTTTCTTAACAAAAAGAAAAATAGTTAAGGGGTGGTGAGCATCAATCTAATGGAGATATATAGCCGGCATTTAACCTGTCCAACCTAAGAAATAAATACATTAGAACCACTCTTGTTTGCAATGAAAGACTAGCAGCAAATGCAGATGATAACTTTAAGGCACATGACAACTCTGCCGGCAGAAATTGACATTGGATGGTGTTTTTTGGAGCCTTAGTATGAGTGTTGCACATAGTGGAGTTTCCTTAAATTTGGAGGGCCATACCTTCATTGCTAGGTATAGTTCCAGGCAATCCATAAAGTTATCATGAACCAAGTAATCAATTGGTACAAATCAAGTTAAGATTTCGTCCAACAAATGCACTGCTACTAGGAGTTGAATTCATTGGATACAGACTCTAGAACTATAGAGGCTATTTATAGCATATATCACAAAAGAAACTAGATGTATCGGTTATACTTACATAAATACTACCCGTGACTGAAGCCAAAGGCAACTTCCAATTTTCCACCAACCTTAGACTGACACCAGAATTTCTAACCTGGACCTCACTTGAATAGTAAAAATGCTGGCTATAGTAATTGATTAATCAAATACATGGTTTCTTTATTGCGTCTATCATGTAATCCAACCTAAATATCATGGTGTACTAACAGCAGGAGCTGCAATCATTTTCCTTTGCTGTAGGTCAGTAAACCATCTATAATTTTAAGGGAAGACCTTTATTTGGCATCCCTATTTGCTTCTTTCTTGGTTTGACAAAAGCGTCCTCTTAAGCTATAACCATCATATATAAATATCAATCTATCTTCTGGACATGGTAAGCAATTCAAGAAACGAAAGACACAGTAAACAACTCCAAAGAAACTTCTCCATGATGGCTGCACATTTGCAACTCCACCTTCCATTCCGGGACTATTTAACAATGAACTCTCTTGCGAACTGTTATTAACCTAAATGTGGCCTTCCATTAGCTTTATATGTTACTTTCTTCTTCACATACAAAACTATTTGTGCCACAAATGCTAGTTGATAACATTTTGCATGCCTCCTCTCAAGCAATTCAACAGCTAAAATTATAGTGACACTGGTCTAAACTAGAGGTGTAAACTAGCACCGTGAATTATGTAAACTTCACATGCAACACTCACACCTTGTAGGTTAAAAGGTTAATTAGAAACAACAACAGAAAATGAAAACAACCGCAATTATTAACTATAAAAAGCAACTATTTCTACAACATTAATTGATTAAATCAGATAATGAAAAAAAAATTCCGCACCTGATGGTCGAAAATCTTTACAACCACCAAGAAGAAATCATTATCAACCTCCTTAACATCCTTTCCACCGACGACAACATCTTTCTTCATCTTTGAAAGCTTTGGATCATCATCCTCTCCAAACTCTGTCACAAACCACCCTTCCTTAAATAACTCAACACACATATCACTCATTTGAAAAGCCTCAAAATGTACATCCGCAGCCCCATCTTCATTGGCTTCCAGCTTCACCACAACAGTTACCCACTCCTTCAGCCCGCTCTCGGCGTGAAGCTCTGCCACCTGTAGAACCTCCCTGTTCGAAAAATTATAGTCCTTTTTGCCTTGCATTATCGTCTGGGTAAAAATAAACCCTACTCTCTTAATCCCTAACCCTGCCGCAATGGCATCAACCAATTTCTCTTCTTCGGGATTCCTTAAAAGAATCAAATCGTCTTCCAATCCTTGTTGAGGTGGCTCGTAAATGAAATCAACTTCCACTCTACCTTCTTCCGAGATGGTGCCGTACATGAACCCGCCGCGTTTGATAGCAAACGCCAGCGTTTCATTCACGTATCGTTGGAAAGCGTATGCGCAATCGCGGTCAAAGGAAACAGAGTCGCAGTGAGGGGATTCCTGGCGGGTGATCCGGGTTTGTTTAGCGATGAGATCGTCCATGGTCATTTTACGGCCGAATGATCCGGCGGGAGACACGGCAGGGCCGCCGCGGACGGTGCGTTCGCCGTGATAGTAAAGATAAATAATGGAGCCGTGAGAGAGGTTTAAGGCGGAGAGTAGGGTGCAAGGGTCGGCCATGTCGGTGAAGCGGATGAGGTCAGCGGGGGTTTTAACTAAAAGAAGATTTTTATCAGTGGAAAGCGTTTGGTTCTGGATGGAGATTTGGAGTTGGGATTCAATTAGGGTTTTTAATTGGGAGATTGATATGTGAGGGCCATCGACTTGGATCCGTTCAAGGCCGTCTCGACTGCGGATTCTGATCATCATCTTGGAATCGAGACGGTAGCGTTTTGAAGGCTAAAAGAGTTAAACGAGTTTCAGCTGAGATATGAGCTAAAAAGAATTATGGTTTTGGCTATTTTCTTTATAATGGAGAAGGGAAAGTGACTGTTGGAGACGACAAGAGCTTGGAGTGAAAGAGTTGGGATTCTGATGAGAGTTCCTTTTTGGTGATCGCTTGTATACTATAAGATTGGCTTTCCTTATACCCAAAACGTCACCGTTTTTTATTTGTAAACAGTCCAGAATTTTCTTAAGCAGTTTTGGGACTTGAGTAACAAAATACAAGCAAAAGTTGGTATCCTAACTTAAAACTAGATGAGAATTTAGCCCCGTGATTCAAATTTATAAAAATTTAAATTTATTAAATTTTTTTTTTAAGAATAAATTCGAGAATTGATAAATTATTCAATCTTTCAGGATCAATAAATAATCATCAATAAGATTCGAATCAAAATTTTTAATCTAAAAAAATAAATTTAATTTTATTAAATCAACCACTTTTTAATATTTATTGGATATTATTTTTTAAAAATAAATATATGAATTAATTTTAAATAAATTTTGAATTATTATTCATCAATTTTTAATAAAAGCAAAAGTTAGAATTTAGCGTTTGTTACTTGCACATTAGAAATAATACTGGTATAAAATAAAATAAAAAAGCCAAATAGAACATATGCAAGATTTAAGAAAGAAATGGTGGACTTTTAATGGTAATGCTTAAGCATTAGAATTTTATTTAAAGAGTGGCTTGTTTAAAAACATTAATACATTAAAAAATTATTTGATATTTAGTAAAATTTTTTAACTCTAGGAATGAGATTAAGATGATGATATATATATTTTTTATTTTTTTGAATATACATTAAAATATATATATTCATATTAACTCTACTTGTAAATTTAAAAAACTTTATTATTAGTTGATTTGATAATTTCTAGTACATTACAATGACAGAAAACAATTAAATTGCAGAAACAAAGTGACTGACGGATTAATTAACAACATAACATTTCTTCCTAATCTCCCCTTGAGTCCCTGTGAGAACTCCAATGGCTCCCATCTTCTTCATTGCCACTGCAAAGTCTTTGAAGAATTTCGATGAGTCAAGCATATCGTTGACAGTTTTGAGGGCGTGATTGTTTGTCAGAAGGGCGGCATCGGATTCGAAGAGGCCCATATGTTGCTTGAGGATGACAAAATAGTGATTATCAAACTTTAGAGAGCTACCAGGATCCATTTCCACGGTGGTTGTGTTGTCACTAAGGCTTCGGCATTTGGTCTTCAAGAAAGCAGCATAGGTTGCGTTCAACGAAGGATCTTGACCTCCTCTTCCAGTAAAATTGTATAGCCTGGGGCTGAAGGTATTGCAGTGGCCTCTTCCAATCGTATGCCCACCTGCATTTTTTCCAATGATTTTCTGTAAGTACTTCGGCAATTATAGTCCATTCAAAATTTTTATTAAAATGCTCAGAATTGCACACTCTTGCTCGACTTGGATGATCTGCTTCTTCTAGTTTTGTTTTCTTATTAAAGAAGTTGACAAGTTCTTTAATTTAATAATCTTGACTTTTTGCATGCAGCCTTCATTTTTTCTTTTACATATGAGAAAATATGATTCGAACATAAATTTAGACCTTTTTTTTATAGAAAAAGAATTTTCTAGACATGATCGCAAAAGGGCTTTTGAGGAAACTGAGACTGTTTTTATGATTACCCAAATGTTCTGTTCAGTGATATTTGTTTCTCTTGTTGTTCAAAAGAACTATTGATTCTGTCTTCTTTCCATCTTATATATCTTAAAAATTCATTGGATAATGTACCTGATAAAACCACCAGGTCATGCACATTGAGGCCTTTGATAGCAAAGTTCTGAACGAGACTGGTGAAGTTGAAAAAAGGGGAAGGAAGATTAGCCAATGCCTCAGAAATTCGTGACACTGTGCCATCTCTTCTACCGGTAAGAACTTCCCACAATGGTTTTTTGAACTGCAAGGTAATATTCGGTGCACTAGTTATATGCTTTCATTTGTCGAAATATCACTTCTTTTTAAGGTTTTTGCTTAACTTACTTTATATGAAACTGAATCCCTGGCAGCCAAGGCCAGAACATCAGCACAAGATACTACTCCTGGACATTCCTTCTCCACTTCTGCTTTTATATCTTCAATGACATCGAAACCCGACAGGCTTAGGTTCGGAACTGCCTGCTTTTCGGCAGTGTTGTTACTTGTCGAGTTCAACAAAATTGAAGCTTCACAACCCTGAAAATTAATTTCCAATAACGTGTAAGCATTGAGATTAACATATGCACCATTAATAACCAAATGTGCTACTACACAATATTTAGAAGCCTTACCCCGACAAAGCAATCATGAAAATGCATTCTCAGGAACTTTGCTGGCAGGTCGAGATTCTTAGCTACATGTTTCTCGGTAGCGTTCTTGATTATCTCCTCTGCATCAGGACAGCTAGCCTTGTAATAATTCTTCCTAAGCACACCTCCATGGCAGGTCCCAAGAACTCCAAAAACTACAACACAAAGCAACAGGAGAATGTGACTCTTCATCATGATATCTTTAGAAGAAGATGTAATTCGAGTGAATCTGGCAATGCGATAGGCACAGCCAGCTCTGCCTTTTATACTTGTGTTTCGGCATTTTTCCGGTTAAGCAATGTATATTTTAAAGAGACTTCTTCCAAAATCCAGTTAAGCAATGTATCTTCCATCTATCTCTGAGTTACTATATTTTTATGTCTCTTAAACTATTTTATCCATGTTCTGATTTTTCAATCCAAAATGTATAGTCAAAGTCAAACATCTAATGTGAGACAACTATTGTAAAATTAAATGGCTACTTTGGCCTCCCCCAGATTAATATATTTGTAAGTGGCAGGGAGGTCTTTTTAATCTCTAATGATTAAAGAATCCTTCACATTATGCCTGAGTTTGCAGCTAAGGTCTCGTTTGATATCGTTGAGATTGATAATACAATAATGGTGGTATTTTATAACCTGGATGAAATTAAAACCATTGCTTAAAATAGAAGTAGAATTTTTTTTCTCAGTACGAATTAGCATTACAAGCTTAAAATAGCAGAAGTCAACGTTACATATATACTAATCCAGAATTCAGATCAAAGCATGATTACTCTTTTAGAAAAAGAATTATATGAAATTTTTATAAATGAAATTTGTGAAACTTTTTATTATCAATGAGTAAATAAAAATAAAAATTAATAGATTAAAATGTCTTTTACATAAATTAAACATAAAAATTTTGAGATAAATTTAATAAATTTTGATATATTTATTAAATAAATATTTTTAATAAAAATATTGATAAAATTTTTATCATTAAATAAATATTAGTCAAATTTAAATTATAAATAATATTTTAACTTTTTTACATATTATTTATTTTCACATTAAATTTTATTAATCTATCAATTTAAAATTTTCATTTATTCATTTTTAATTAAAAAAATAAAACCAAAAAACCTCACTTATAAATTTTCAAATAAATTTTATCATTTTTTAACTAGGCAGAAGTCGCCTCTCGACATGCTCGCACAAATATTTTCTTTTTGGCTTCCCAAGGTTTTTTCTTAATCAACTTCATCGTGCTATCATCAACAAAATATAATAATTATTATTAACTACCATGTTGCTTGCATTTAAGACTGGCATGCTTGATATATTTATTCTTTGCGTAATTATAAACAATTAAGATTGACTTCCAAAGAAAAAGGGAATAGCAATTCTATAAGTTGATTCAAACATGTAGGTGTTCGAAATTGAGATATACATAAATACATTCAGATATATATAAAGAGGAAAAAAATTTAGAAAAATTATCACATTCATTAATAGTCTGATCTTTAAATTTAACAGGAAGAAAAATAATTTAAAGTATAATAAAAATTACATGAATCAAAACCAAACTCGTCCCATAATCCAATGCTAATTATAAAATAATGCAGCTTTCGTAGTTGTTTCTTACATCCCAGTTGTAATTGTAATATAATAATAATTACGGTGCCTCGTTTGACTGGATGGAATGAATCTAATCAAGTAGTAGAATTATTTTTGTTCTTTAGAAATAAATCAAGTGGCAAGATTAGATGCATTGACAGATTTTTAATACAATAAAATACGACAAAACATTTACTATAACACACGATTGCTTGTGGTTTAAGCAGGAAAAACACATGTTCAGGGAAAAAAACAATCTTTTTGTTGCGTTGCCTTCACACCACAAATTAATGCTTTTTCAAGTCACCGTCTGAAATGTTCGTAAGCCAGGAATTCAAGTCCATCTGTCCAAGCCCAAAACAAAATCAACGAGCTCAATTACATACCCAAAATTCGGGCTCAACAAATTGTACTTGGTGTTGGAAAATTTCAAAGCCTTGGTTGATTGAGCTGACTACCAACTTTGGTGGAATCCATGCCAAAATTTCTCCAACCCATTACATAGAGCTGGGCCACTGTTGGGTTGACTCAAAAGTATATGTACTTTTGAAGTTCAATGATTTTAAATACTGCGTGTATGAAAACAAGAAATAATCCGAAACACGAGCTTAAATTTTTACTTTTGTTTTTGGGTTTTCAGCAGACCATAGGTCCACAAATAAGAAATCTTTGCCGGCCGGCCCTTCTCACCTAGCTCACCCCAGTACAATGACCAAAATGACCTTCACCCAATCCTGTTTTGGTTGCTCTCTTTACAATCACTGTTGCTTCTGTTGGCTTTGGTTGAAATTGTTTGATTTCATGGCCGACATCTAAAATATTACTATGTGAAAGGCATTCTAATGGCTGCTACTTATATTAGTAATAAATTCTTCACTACAAAAATTTATTCACAAGTTTTTTTTTTTTTTTATTTATAAGAATAACTCAAATCCGAGCTTCAAGTTACAAGTCCCATCATATTGTATTAACTTTACTCACGCAAAGGACAGTTGGAATCAGAAGATTCCTTGCAAATCTGAAGCGTATAACCAAATATCCAAATACTGTAAAAAACCATGGCTATTGAGCTCAAAATTACTGTATTTTTTTGCTACATTCTTGATTTGAAAGCATTCGTGGCTGCTCTTTACAGAGAAATTCATTGGCTGGCTTGGCTTCTGCTTATTAATGGGTGTCTCTTCTCTCCATTGCAGTCTGGACTAGAAATTAAAGGGATTAATTGCATGAAAATCCTCAAGCACAATCTATAATCTTATAAGTCCTGGAGAAAGAAAGAAGCCCCAAAGATTGTTAAGAGGATACTGATATAATTACAGAAGCAAGATTGATTTTCATTTGTATATTAATTTCTTCAGGTTGCAAAACCATGTTTTCTATGTACAATTGACAGTATATTCAAACAATTGAATAAACAATGGAAGAATACCCAGAAAAAAAAAAAAAAAACAGGGAGAAAACTGAAGAACATGGAGCAGAATGAATGAGATACATAAAAACTAAAGAGGACTGGAGAAGTCATTTGGGTAGCTAGAAAAACAAGAACAAAAAAGAAAGGAAGAAAATCCAGATTTTAAGATGCCAGGCAGGCTTCCCAAAATAGCCTGTTCTTTTCCATCTCATTCATGGTTTTGGTTGAATCAACAGAAACAGCTGATAATTTCTTTTCTTTTGCCACTACTCCATTAATACGCTGATCATCCCTGCACTTTTTATACAAATGAACCTCCTCTTGCTCCACCACCTCCCCATCCTCCTCATCTTCATGATGATCATCATCACCAACATTTGCTAATTTGTTTTCTAAGCTATCAAGCTCTCTAACCCCAGGAAGAAAATCAGATGTAGTATCACAGCTGCATGACTCAGCATCATCATTATCATCTTCTTCAGCATGGTTGACAACAGACACGGCAGGATCAAAAAAACCAGCTTCTGAATCACCGGTTGCCTCGAAGAGCAAGAACGAAGAGACATCAAAAACTTTACTTTTAATGTCCATATCTAATTGCCAACACTAGATCGAACAACACAAACAAAAAGTACAAACTTTGTTTTTAAGTCTTTCCAACACAGCAGAAATTTTTATATAGCTAATCGTAACAATTCAAATAATATCAAGGAAGTTGTCTATAAAAGGACATGAAAAGAAAAAGAGAGGTGGGCTGCTGCTGCTGCTGCTGCCGTGTTTGACACAGGGATTTTCTATTGGATATCAATATTAGCAGGATGGCTGCTGACTTAAAAATTATATTTTATGCAATGGAGAAGAAAAGATATTTGTATTAAAATGGAAGTGACATCTGCCTTTTTTTTTCTAGAAGGAATACTCAATGTTGAAATGGATGGATCACAGTTCAGACCCACCATTCTGGAAAAAAACAAAAAAACACTTCCAGAAGCAAGTGTCGACGCACGGATTTTACGTGTTCCTGTCTTGGACTTTTCAAAGTAGATGAGATCATAGGCTCATTTCATTTTTACCTATTCCTCTCCGTGATTTTATTATAGTCGTAAACAAGCACCCAAAATTTTCCACTATATATGAAATATCAGGTTGATAGAATAAATACTCCAAAGAAAAAGACAGTGCTTTGAATCATGTTTGGAACACAGTTCAACAAATGTGAGTTTGAAATTATTGTTGTAAGATACATACACTGTGACAATTGAGTGATATTTTGGGTTATTTTCAACTAAAATTTTCAGTTTCTGGATGATAAAAAAATCAAAGAACTATTCAAACAAAGAAGACTTGTAAAGTGTTTATTACTAGTCAATAGTCATCTCACAATTTTGTTAACGTTTGAAACGTGGATTGCAGTCAATAGCGACTACCCATTTCTGAAAATGATTGAGTCGAATAGTAGTTGTTGTAAGAATTAATATATAATAATCTAAGAAAGGAAAATTACTTGTGCGGCTAAGCTGAAAAAAAGGTTACCGAAATGTACAAGGTATGACTTTTTCGTTGTGGCACTATGTTTATGGCAGTTTTTTGGTTTGCTCCACGTGTACAACAATCGGAAGGTATTTGATTGTTTTCATTTTCTGGCAGAGCAAGTCTTTTTCTTTTTTTTTTGCTTTGTTTGTTTATTTTTAAAGAAAGTCATGACATAACAAAAGAAAAAAAAATTAAGATCTAAAATTTAGATTTAATAAATATCATATTTTAAAAATAATTACAAAAATTAATTGAATTAAATTATATATTTTTTATATTTCATTTATGCTCTTTTTACTTATTAATAAAGTTTAATTACGAATTTCTTTCATTCTTGATTTATAACCATTTTAATTATTCATAAAATATTTATTTATTTATTCCGTAAGTGAAACTTGTCTATCCTTTTTTAAATTCCATTTCTTGTATGAGGACTAGTTCAAATGGAAGACGATGATATTGAGTGTTTCAAATCAACCAACTTAAGCAAAGAGTACTTGTCGAATGAATGAGGAAGTTACGTATCAACTTACTACTTAAGAAGCATTCTAAGTTATATATGCATTGTATATTTGATTAATTATAGTCTTTTGTAGCATTCAAACTTTTTTTTAATAGCTAATGCATTTTCTTATTCAAAAATTAAATTCAAAATTTTAATCTTTCAATATATATTAAAAAAAACATTTGTAAACCACTTCGAGAACAACAAATAATTTGATTTGATTTTAAACATAAAAAATCAAATTTTTATTCATGTTTAAACACGTCAAATTCAAAACAATAGATTCATCTGATCTTACTGAGCAAGTACAACAGGTTTATTGACTGTTTCAACCAGAAAGCAAAAGACTTGTTCTGCTTCAAAATTTGACATTTAGATAGTAAGTATCAAATAAATGAGTTTGTAAATTTCATTGGTGTAAATCATAATTGATATTGTATAAAAAAGTAGTGATAAAAGAAAGAAGAAACGAGGCTGAACAGTCGAGTTTGGCATAGAATTGTAGGTTCAAATCTATCACCTGCTGGAAAGCACTCAAAACTCGCCACAAATCAAGAATGGGAAACGTGGAATGGCAGAAGAGAAAAGAATCATGAGGAAGCATTGTCGATAAGGTTGATACTGATGGTGACCAGATTATGACCCACTACACAAACAACATTCATTCACGTTACTCGTAAAAAAAAAGAGAAGTGGAAAAATTGGAAAGGACGGCCAAAAGTAGGCAGCCAACAGATTTACAACAATCATACTCAAATATGAATACTAGGCTTTCTTCTAGATGTTATGTGAGCATATGTAGTTTAATCTAAACAAAACAAATGCGTTTCTTTGCTTTGTCTACCTATATACAGTCTTATTTACAGGAAAAACAAGAAGAATAAAGCAGTGGGGATGCGCCAAACACCCACAGGAATATTTTGACAAATGGCATGACAGAGAAGAGAGACGCCTATGGAATGAACTGAAATGAACAAAACAGCACCTGTTGTCAAGAAATGGGGGCAGGACGCTTCAACATAGTCCAAACTTTCCTGTCAGATTAAAATGTCCTCATCAGTGAATAAATGAAACTTGAATATCAATTAGGGCGGTATAAACTACTTGGAGCTAAAAGTTAAGGAAAAGATTGCTTCAAATTTTAGTAGCAGGGATAGTTTAGTGGGTGACAGGTGCTCAGATTGAGTAAAGCATTTTATCTTTAGGTCACCGTAAAACATGCAATTCCAACTTCGTAGAACTTGCAGCATAATCTCAACAAAATAAATGATGTTCACGATACATAGCATCCTAGTCTCATTGCGTATTCAAGGTTTTGGATAAGAATATGGGCATTTGCAACCAGATATGCTTGATGCTTTCCTACTTTCAACAATACCAGATCAATAACATCATTTGATGATATGCTTGATGCTTCTGAAAAGAAATGCAATACAATGCTGAAATACATCACCCGCGAAGTTCCAATTCAACCTTTCAAATACACTAATAATATCAGGTGGACGCATAATTTGCTAATGTAAATGGTGAGAAAGCAAAATAAATAAAATGAATCCCAGACACACAGCAAGACACATCTTCCAGTTGTTCAGCCTTCTATGATTTTTCCAGGTATGACGTTTTAAAATATTTACCAGCAAAATAGTCTACCCTCAATAATTAGTTCTTTATATCAACTTGATATTGGCAGCAACCAGCAATACTACAATTCAGTATACCTCTAACCACGCAATGCCCCTGAAAAAGACCAATTCTCATGCAGTTATGAACTAATACAAATAAGCAAGTATAAAATCAAAGGATATATAAAATGGCAGAAAAAGTTCATCATGTCAGAAATAGTTCTGCACAAACTGAACGAGGCTTGTGAAGGATAGTCAGAAATTAGCAAGATCCAAGCCCTACACTACAGTAATTCCGATTTTAATCCAAGTGATGTCATGATGATGATTCTCATAAATGACATAGATGGTACCTTAATTGTTGGTAATGCTTCTTGATCCCAGGACAAAGAACACTCAACATACAAGCAACAAGCATTACCTGAGATGTTGGGTCCTTGGTTATCCTGCGACAGCAGATGTACTCAGGCAGGAGAATACTCAATTGAAAGAGCAGAGCATGAGAAATACCTCCACATTTCAACGGAGTATTGGATGGGAACCATCAAGTTAATATATCTCCAACATCTTGAACCAAACCACTGAAAGCAAAGATTTGCACACTGGAAGTTAAGTTCAAAATTCAAATATCTTACATATTTCACAACTACAAGTAAAATATGTAAAGACTAATTTCAGGGAAGGGAAACAAGTAAGTATATGACAAATCTTAATTCCGGTAAAAATCTGCATGGGACAGACTTGGAGGGATTACATGGCAAGATGGACAGAAAGGAAATCACATGCAAAAACCTCAAAGATAACAGGACCTCAATGTACAGATGATTTTATAATACCTGAATGTCATAGATCAGAATGCATTTCTAAAAGAAACTTGGACAATCACTTCAGACAACTTGGATATAAACAAACCCACTACTAAAGCCATTCTTTTCTAGGATAACAGGAAGCTGCTCTTTAAAAAAATATCAGCAAAAATAAATTGCCCCAGTGAACAGAAGAGAAGTGCTTAAGTACAATGCTCTTGAGTGAATATACACAGGAGTTGAATAAACTCCCAGAATGTACCTTGGTGAGGAAAAAAAATCAAATTGCAGAAAAACAAGTTATTGAATGTGGAAACAATACATTTAGGGGACATTGAATCATGATGTCCCCACAAGATTAAAATAAGAACAGATATTCTCAAGGAAAAATCAATAAATTAATAATTAGTGTCTAAATGGAATTCAATGATACACAGAATACAAATCGTGTAGGCAACGAATGCACCATGAATTACAAGTTTCTGGGATTTTAATCCCATGAAGCAATTACAAGAAGGATGGAGTGACACATATAACCACAGGTTATCCTCAATCCACCCAAAATGCTGATACTGAAGTCACCAGTCAGTCAATATATCCAAGTTCCATGTTGACCACATGTTACAGACATTTTCTGCTTCCTTCCAAGACTCACCTCCCAATCAATAAGGTTTGTTCTGTTTGTTGTCTCTCTTAAGCTGAACCTTCAGTTTCTTACCACCTAATTGGCATCCATTCATCATGTTTATTGCATTTTGAGCAGCTGCTGGAGAGTCATAACTAACAAATCCTGCAAAGAGGGGGTTCTTGAGAGAGAAAATTCCTTAACACTATATCAGATTAAGAGGTAAAGATAATGCACATACCAAAACATTTACTAACCCCCGTTGCTTTGTCAACAAAAACCTTTGCACTTAAGACCCTACCAAATCCTTGAAAAGCGGTAGCCAACTCTTGATCACCAAAATCTTGAGGTATGTGATAAATAAATAGATTTGCACCAGGTGGACCTAGGTCAGAGCATAGACTAATTAATAACATGCCACCACCAAGATTGGACTTTTTGAAAGACAACAAAAACCAAGATGACCATAGATAGCAAACCTTCAATCTGACCTCCTGAACTTGTACCAGCACTGGAAGATGATGAAGAATTACTGCTTGTATTTGCTTGTGGCACTGAACCAGGTGAACCAGTCAATGGACTGTGGCTCATGATTCCCCCGGGATATGCCATGGGGTACTGAACACCTGTCACAGCTGGATAAGCCGATCCCACATAACTTGCAGGAGGCATAGCATTATTTCTAGGAGCAATATTGGGAGCGAGGTCAGGTGTGATTCCTTGCAATGCACCTTGATTTACTGGAGGAACCATATTGTGGAATGGAGGCTGATTCTGCATTGGTGGCAAGCGGTACTGCATAATTCCATAACTTCCTGGAGCCTAAATAAATAATGAGATGATCAATCATATTTAGATATTAAATGCTCAGTCAAAACATCATACAAACAAAATTAGACAATCCTCCGTAACTTGGTTAAAATTTGAGAAAACAGAATCACTTATGAGACCCAAAATATGTTAGATATCTATGGTCATCTTGGTTTCTGTAAATCAGCATTTGAAAAACCTACCTGATATCCATAACCATTGTATGGAGGAACATAACCCATTGGCATGGCTCCAAACAATGAAGGATGTTGTGAATCAGCATTTGGTATATTCAAAGCTTGAGATTGGGCTTTCTGGGCCCTCCGAGCTTGTCTTTCCTTTTCTGTATCTGCCCATTTGACAACAACAGGGACACTTGAGCCCTAAAACAGCAGAAGATAAAGATCAGAATATGATACCCCATTTTTATTCAAGAATAACTAACACACTACTGGACATGATAAGAAAAGGTGCTACTTAAGGCAGTGGCTACTACCTCCTTAACTCATATTTGGATGCCAAGAGATAAAGATATGCCTTTGATTAAAGAGTAAAGGCTATTTATCTGGTACAAGAATGCAGTCTAATGAAGACAAGAACTTCCATTGTATCTATGCATTCCAAAATCCACTATGTTATAGCAGGAAATTGCAGATGTAAGCCCAAGTGTGACTTGATCAAGACAAAGATAATGTGCTTCTACAGAGAGCCCATTTGGTTGACAACTTTGATACTAAATGCAACATGCAACAATTCACGACAATGAACTTGGTTTTGTGGCTTGCAATTCATAATAGGGTTATTAAGCCACAGAAATCATCTTTTATGCATGTGCAAATGATTTCCAGGTTTATATTGGAAACTTTAGTGACTTGAGTTCTTGCAAGTGCTAACACCATGAATTAAGTGATAACTAAATTATGATGTCGTAATTCATTCCTATGAACAATGACCATGTAAGATACCTGATTAGTACATAATCTTTAAGTGCTTCGAAACACTTATTATGCAAAAGATACCATATAAAACAGGAGTAGGTACTCAGAACAATGTTTGAGCTAATTTGTTGATTTTCAACAGCAGGAACATGTACAAAATACAAACCTCCATTTTATGCTTTCCATTAATGGCCTCCAGGGCGTCAAGGGCTTGTTCTTTTGTCTCATACTTCAAAAAGGCACAGCCTGCCATAAAGAAACCAAAACAGCTACAATTCAAATACTGCAATCAGCTTAAGATTGAGGTTTTTATGGTTCATACAATTAAGCACTTAAAATGGTTTTCTTCTTTTAAAAAAAAAAAAATAAAGAAATAAAGAAAAGGAATCCGATATAAAAGAAAAAGTACCTTTACTTGTCTGTTGAGAACCTCTTAGGATCTGTATTTCCTTTATGGTTCCATAGTTAGAAAATAAAGCAGAAACTTCAGCTTCCGAGACATTCTTTGGCAGCATGCCAACAAAGAGTTTGTGCTCTAGATCCATCGGGCAGTAAAACAAAGACACAATTCATAATTTAGTCAAAGATTTGATATTAAAAAAAAAATGAATCACCAAAGTGTGAATGAGGATCAATTCTGCCAACCTTGTAGGAAGCAGAATTATAAGCAATTAATTCACTGAAGTTATATATACCTAATCTTTCCAACTCGCCATCTGCATACTTCACTTGTAATGGACTAGAAGCCTAAATAGGACAAAAAAACAGAAACATGAGTTCTAATCAGGGAGGTAACAAGACTCCCACTTAGTAAAAGTAATCTCCAAACACAAATATATTAAAGCAGACATAGGTGATTGCAATAAAGTACTTCATATTGGATTGTCCCTAGATTTTTCATTAAAAGTTGTATAAAAGGACCGAGTTGTTAATCACTCTAAACCTAGATCAGGGATATGCCATGTTGTATAAACAGCCATATCTTATACCACCATATCAGAATGCATGATGATCAATCATGAAAATAAAATGTGAATATGACTTGCCACAACGCACATCAACACCTGAGGCATAAATTTATCCGGTCACACTAGTAACCACCTAATGATACATCAGTGTTAAAATCAAATTTATCCCAGTCAAGCAAATTATACATTAACACTGTGTCCCAGAAGAGACACTCGCTTTGTTTCTCTTTAGATTCCTAGATCTGTGCTTATGCACAATTATCTAATTCTTCTGCTATTGTTTAAAATCTATCAGATCTAACCTGTACAAGCAATTATATATTGAGCATTTTCATTTATGATCTGCGCTTATATACTTTTAATTGCAATATTACAATTGAAATTGCGAGATCCTTTCAGGCTCGTTTGTTTGTCCAGCTACATGCAGATATTCATTTCTTTTCTACATTGTGGAGAAAGAAAGCACTGATGTGCTTCCAGTTCATACATCATAACTACGCTACTTTGATACAGCAGCTCATTTCTATGGTAAAAGGAAAAAAATATTGCAAGAACAAACAGGTGGTCTAAATGATAAATAGTCAACAACTAAGGCATATAATGGAACTCAGGGCAGTGAGTCAGACAAGGCAAGATCTTGGTTATATTGTGAAAGAGCAAGAAAATAAGCCCAGCTCATATTGATGTTACCTTATAATTGTTGAAAGGTTCATCTCTTGATCATGCATTTCCTTAATTACATTAATACACAAAAATGCTTCCTCTTATTCCAAAAAGCTGCAATATCACCTCATTCTTTTCTTTTCAAATTATATACTTTCACTCATTATGTTGACATTAGTAGCCAGACCAATTCATTTTTATCAGCTACCTCCTTGTTTTCAACTATAGCATAATTCTTAAGATAATCTAAATTTGCCCCAAGATTTTAATAAGGTCAAACAAATCTGAAAGGTATTGACTGACATAAAATGATAACAAGACAAATGGCTGGAGAGTAGTTAGCCTTAAACGACAACCTATAAATAGAACTCCAAGACCAATTGTTTGCTTAATTATTTGAAATTCAGAAAATTCATGGTTTCAATAACCAAATTATCCTGTTTCTTGTCCAAATTATGTTCTATAAAATTTAATCTCCAGTATACAAAGCCCCAGCCTTCATCTTCTACACAGTAGTAAAATTTCTCAAAACTCCATTTCATCAGAAAACAACCAGGTGTTAAGTGGAAAAAAAAAAACTAAGCTTACAGCATGCTGGAATTTGATGTAGTCATCTCCTTTGCCATTGTCTCTAAAACTCACGATATCAATTTACTACAAATGAGCTTTATAAATAATTATCAAACTTACAGTACTCTACATTCTAAAACTGCATTATTAGCATGTACCCTAGTCGGCACAATGAAACAGTTATGAATTTCTACTGAGTTCGTCACAAATACCAAATAGACACAAGTTTAAGGTACTTTTACTGGATAGTTAAGACCTAATTTCATATGATGCAAGCTGTCAGTATCAAAAACGTATAAAGCAAGCAAGAGTCATGCCACAACCACAATATCCAAAATGCACTAACAATTTTGATTGCTTCAGAGTTCAATAGTCAAATAGAGTGGACAGATTTCGTCCTCAGGCGCTACATTTGCATGTCAGCTTGTCAGAATAAGCTACAAGCGTCAAGTTAATTACAATAAGCTAAGATCACTACAACCAACTTTGGACAATAGCAGGTAGATTTTCAGAACAATAACTAACAATGTGGCAATGAATCACTAGAAATCAAGGCAATACAAGGAAACAAAATTCAAAAATTGAACTAACCCCAGGCAAAGTCTTCTTATTATGACAGGCATTGACTGCCTTATCGGCCTCTTGTCTCGACGGGCATATAACAAAGCAACATCCTTAATCAACATAGAAAAAAAAACCCACGAGAAAATAACTCAAAATTAGGGTTCCAAACATCAAAAACCTCACTAAAACAGCGCAAATCTCACTCCAAACTAAACGAATCATACAAATCACTAAAAAAAAAAAAACAACGGCAAAAAGAGAACGAGAAATGTGAGAGATTAGAAACTTCAAAAAGAAATAATAAACTAGAAAAAGAAAACAACAAAGTTGAACCTCTAGAGGTGCGAGTAGCCTTGTCTTTGATGATGTTGACTTCGTCGACCAAAGCAAACTCTTTGAACATTGCGAGAAGTTGAGCTTCCGTCATATGCTTCGGCACTTGACCAACGAACAGCTTCACGCTCTCTTCGTTCGTTGATTTCTTCTCCTTTTCTCCCTCCGCCATTGATGCCTCTCTTCTTCCTCTATTTTCTCTGTTTTTTTTTTTCTCCGAATTTTCTTTTATTTTCTCTCTCTAGCGGAAAGAGAGTTTATTTGTTTTTTTTGGGGGGGGAGGTTTTCTTGATGGCAAAGTTGGATCTTCAATGGATTTATTATTATTTAATTAAAATAGCTGCAAAGTGGGGCTAGTGTTTGGGTTTATTTACGATACCGCCCTTCCAGCTGCGCAAGTCGATGTCCATGTACTTGTACAGTTGTGAGCTGGAACGAGGATTTGTACACTGAAGGAAGGCCGATGTTGAATGACGTATTTACCCTTTTCATTTTCTTTGCCTTATTTGGTAATTTTTATTTTCACTTTTTGGTGATTCCAATCCGCTGTCTTGCTTTGGAAAATTTTATGATTTATTCTACCAAAAAATTTATCATTTGCTAAAAAGAACACTACAACTTAAAAAAGTGCAAGGGAATGTTTTAGTTTTACGCTGACATCCAGAGTCCAAGTCATTTTGAATTTTTTTTTTCTTCTTTTCGAAACCAATTTATTTTCTTAGGGCAATAATATGTATATTTCTTAATTCTTACTATATAATAACCCTACAAAAGATTTACTAAATCTCCAACTTTTCTAATATAATTAAATACATTTTTTTGTGAAATTTGAAGAAAAAAATTGTGTTGTTTACATGAAATTACATGATTTATTGATATCTTATTTTAGCTAACTTTTAGTTTATAATTTAAAATTTATGATTAATATTTTAAATTGATTGAATAAAATGAGTATTATTTTTATAGTACTTTTGCTTGCCATATTTTACTAATAAGTAGCACAAATATCACTTAAAATAAAAGTTCAATATTTTACTAATAAATCACATAAATATTGATAAAATAAGTATTATTTTGATGTCATGAATATGATTTATTTTTTTAGAATGATTAATTGCTAATTATATTTAAATTATCATTCGAGCATTTAATTCAATGGTATATGTGTTCTTTATTCAATGAGTGAATATGAATTTTAATTCATTTAAAATAGTATTCAATAGTATTTTTTAAATTGTTATAATAATTTAATTACTAAGATAATTTTATCACTTATAATTTAAAATCAACTTATATAGTTAATAATTATTAATTATTAACATTTAAGAATTAAGAATTATAAATTTATTATAATCAAACATTTATATTTTATATTACTGAAAAATCAAATATTATTTTTTAAAGTACCAAAATAAAATATTTTATTAGTTGCACAAATTAATAGTTTCAATGTTATCAGTTTAAATATAGTAATATATAAAATATTAGTAATATTTTATTAACTTTATAATAAGGTATAATTAATTTATTAAATTAGAAAAAAAAACATTTATTGCTAGACAAACTAACATTTATAATATAAATAATGCAAAAAACATTTGAATTAAAAAAATAAAATTAAATATATTAAAATTATAATAAAAGACAAATAAAAACTTTTAAATTATGTATAACATTAAAAAATAAATCAAGTAATTAATTTTTTAATTTGGTACAATAAATATTATTTTAAAAATATAAAAATTTTATAACATAAAATAATTATAATTTAAAAAAATTAATTGACACATTAAATGAGTAATATTAGTTGTATAATTTTACAACTTTACTTTTATGATAAAAATTTCTCGCTCTGAAAATTATATTACTTTTCAAAAAAAGAGTTTTTGGCAATACATCATTTTGATCGGTCAAGATGAAGTAGCAACACTATAAAAATATATATATATTTTAAAATTATTATTTTACTTTTAAACTCTCTATATTACATATCTGACTAAAAAATAATATCATGGATTTAAATTCTCTTAAACTCGCAACTTTTAAATATCAATTTCAATAACATATCAACTTATCAAAAAGATAATTAAGCTAAATATATATTTTCTCAACGCTCAAATATTGGTGTGAAGCTATGTTTTTTTTTTTTTGTATTTTGCATTGTTTGACACGTTTATGCTTTTTAAGTGAGTTAACTAATATTAATAAAACCCATTCCTTTTTTTTTTTATCCAATTAGGTTTTAAAGAAGAATATTTACCTTGTCAAGTAGTTTGGTAGTATTACCAAAAATAAAAAATGTCATCGGCCATTTAAACTCAAATTTTTTAAGGAAAGTAAAAGGTTTTATTGTAAAAATAGGGAAAACAATATAATAATAGAAGTAATAAAAAAAAAAGCTTGTAAAATGTTTTGTTCATAGTAATTCCTAAAAAAGCAAGGCATCATTTTTTTCAAAATTTCCCTTTTCTAGATCAATCCTATCCTATATAAACTTAGCTATTCTAGGTTATTCTAACTTGAATATCTATTTTATAAAATTTTAAATATAAAAAAACTATAATTATAATTAAATATTTTATTTATATAAAAATTATTTAATAATCAAATCAATCAATCAATTAATAAATCTAAAAATAAATAAAATAATTTAGTATAAAATTAAATCAAATTCATAAATAATAAAACTTAAATATTTATTTTATTAATAATACTTTCCACCTTCAATAAAAGTAAAAAGTAAGAAGCAAAATAAAAGCGAAATTGGAAAGAAAAGAGGTTGACGATTGACAAAAGCAAATGCTGTTTGTCAGGATCATTTTCAGTAGTAAAGGAGTACGGATACCGTTATACGTTGTGAGGAGGGAATCCGAGCCGGAGGGTAAGAAAGTAAAAGCGAATGGAAGGGTGCAGCGGTAGATTAGCGTGGAAACCAGGCGCAAGAGATAAGTGCGCCAGACTGTCCCGCCAACGCACGCCTCTTCTTCGACTTTCTCCTCTTCCAAAGGTTCCAAACCGAAAATCTAGTATGATTTTATTTTATACTAAATTTATCGTCAAATGATTGTATAAATATAGTAGTAATTCATTTATTTGCGAGTACATGCCTACATGGTGTTAATGAGAAGGAAAAAAAAATTGAAAACTATTTGATGGGACCCTGTTCCTGCATCCCATGTTGGACCAGCTGTAAGGTCAAAATGCCATAAGTAGACTGATGGTGACTTGGTAGCTTTGTTTCAGGGCCGAAAACCAGATGTACTTGAACTTAGCCAATAGCCACTAATGGATTCCCATGGCATTGATTGGGGAACTAAATGGAAACTATGGGCTATTTTTAAAAGAATGTCAAAAAGTCGGGCACAAAAGGTCAGAATCCAAACCATTTGTTCACATGATATAGGAGGATATTTTGTCAAAACTACATTATTAAATTAATTAATAATAATAAAGAATGAGACCTACCAATGCGTAAACCAATTGTCTTGGTAATTACCTATAAATATGTTTGAAAATTGAAAAAAAGAACAAAAAGATGGTTTGTTGATGGAGCAGTTGGGCTGGGTAGGGTGCAGTGAGGATTTTGCAAGTGGCAGCAGCATATTGAGAAATTAATCATAGGGTGGATGTGCAAATTGAGGAACTGATATGATAAAGACAATCTGTGATATTAAGGTTGGAGGCAATAAAAGTTTTCATAAGAATAGGTGGATGAGATACCTTAAGAAAAGAAACTCTCTTTCTCTCAAAGCAAAAATGAGAGTTGGTTGTACCTAAACCTTTTTAATGCCAGTCAAAACATGCACCAACAAGTCTGGTTTCCTGCTTGTTCCTTACAGGGTTGCCAGCCGAGTTCTGCCCTGCAATTCACTTTGAAACGATGTGATAATCATAAATTATTATCAATCATTACTTGTAAAAGACCTTAACTGTTCAGAAACCAAGCAAGAAAACTAAGGGCTAAAATATCAATATGAAAAATGCAGACAAGATTACCTATCTTTCATCAATTACCATAACTGTAAGTAAACCCTTTTTTATTAGAAAATATTTATAAAAATAGTAAAACATGTTAGATAATAGTTGACAACAACACCAAATTTGGCTTCATGATTATACAGCCAAAACCCCATATACAAAAGTGATGAGAAAAATAATGAGTAATGTGAAAAAATTAAGAAATAAAATTGTGTAGAAAATTATGAGAAAAATTGAATGTATATTGAAAAACTGCTTATTAAGAATTATACAAAAATCTTAGGTTTATATACAACTAACTAGGGGTTAAACTAAGAAACTAAATCTTCCTAAAAAACTAATCTTATAATTGAGAAATTGTCTATTCTAATTTTTTGTCCTTAATCATAGGGATACAAATGCTTAATTCTAGAGATAGAAATATAAATATACAGATTACAAAATTTCAACTAGCTATAAATAAGTGTTTTTTCACACTCTCCCTCAAGCTAGTGAATAAGTGTTTTTCATTTCCAGCTTGAAAATAATTTTTCGAAATGTTGCACTACTGAGACCTTTAGTCAACATATCTGTAAGTTGACCCTTGATTGATACATAAGGTGTACAAATCAACTCATTGTCTAGTTTCTCATTTATGAAATACTGATATACTTCAATGTGTTTTATTTTGTCATGTTGCACAGGATTTTGTGCAATACTTATTACAGACTTGTTATCACAGTAGAGTCTTATTGGTCTATCTTACTTGATCTTCAAGTCTTCTAGGATAATCTTTAACCATAGTAGTTCACAAATTCCTTGAGCCATTGCTCTGAACTTTGCTTCAGCACTTGATCTTGCCATTACATTCTGTTTTTTTCTCCTCCAAGTCACAAGATTATCACTTAAGAAAGTGCAGTAGCCTGAGGTGGATCTTCTATCAGTTACTGAATTTTTATAATCAACATCTGTATATGCTTCTAGAACTAGCCCTAAATTTTTTTTGAATAAGATACCTCTCTCAGGATTGGCCTTTAAATAGCTATGCATAAATTGACTTATCACACTCACAGCATATGTTATATCAGGTCTAGTATGTGAGAGATAAATGAGTATTCTAACTAATATTTGGTACATCTCTCTATCTACAGTAGCATCTTCATTGGCTTTTTCAATTTTATGATTAGGATCTATAAGAGTATTTGTAGGTTTACATGCAAGCTTCTCAGTTTTCTTCGAAAGATCCATCATATGTTTCTGTTGTGAGATGAAGATAGTGAGTTACTTCAATTCTTAGGAAGTACTTTATTCTCCCTAGCTCTTTTATCTCAAATTCTCTAGCCAAATACT